CTGCTGAACTGGCAAACTGAGTCTGCTGGACTCTGCTGCTTTGGGCCGTGGTATGCATCCCTCATAATGGTGTTCTTTGCCTTTCTAACAGTCTCGAACAGTTGTGCTTTGTCATTTCTAGCCTGTTTTTTACCTGTTGGTTGAATGTGCTTTGTATCTGTCCTTTACACTTGAGATGGTGTGGAAGAACGAGAATCCTCATTTTCACAGCCTTCTGCACACTTTCTGCTCCTTTCCTTTGCTCCTGTCCCTGGGCAGAATGGGCAGTTACAGTGAGCACAGTGTGATCTGGTTTCTTATTTTGAGAGGAGTGTTTCAATGATTGGAATTTGGGCCCATTTTTCAGGAGTTCAGGACTCTAATGTTAGCTGTGCCAGAGTCTTGCTATGTGGTATAGGACAATTTATGTTGGTGCTTCCATCTTGCCGTGTGTCATATGGAGAAAGATCGTAACCTGCCTCAGTGTGGCACTACTGAGTCAATTATGTGGAGCGTTCTGAGGTTCTTTTAGAAAGGACACTGTAGAAATATCAAAACATGATAATGCCAGCGTACTTGAGGGACGTAGTTAGTACGTACTTTCACTAAGTGTAGTATGCTTGTTTTAATGCACCTTAGAGCTTTTGTTCTGGACAAGCTTCAGTTAAACTTTCTAGAGAAAGAAGAGTGTGTCTGTTCTCTCTTACTTTGCTTGATGTGCTTCTCTGTTTTTATTTTTTTGAAGGACTAACTCATCTTATTACCATGGATTTACATCAGAAGGAAATACAGGGCTTCTTCAATATTCCAGTTGATAACTTGAGAGCATCTCCATTTTTACTACAGTACATCCAAGAAGAGGTGAGGAAGGCCTGCTATTACAGTTGCGTTTTTAACTTATTTTTTGTCATGTATCAAGGCTTCTAAAACAAATTTCTTTGAAAAGACTAACTCTTCAAACAGAATTTTAAAAGGGGAAGGGTCGTGTTGGGGCAGAGGGTGGTGTTGGGGCAGTTGGTTCTTTTCTTCCCCACAGGTTTAAGTTTTGCTTTTGTGAAGAGCTGGTGTTTTCTTATCCATGCAGTGATGCTGTTCTGTCTTCTTAGATACATTCCCCTAACTAGTACTAAAAAAAAACACCAAAGGATTTACTTGCTTTTGACATCCTTTTCCTTTCCTGTTTCCAGTTTCGTTGACTTTTATAGGATGGACTACTTGTGTAGGTGTAATTTATATTGCATTATGAAAACACTTTGGAAGTGAAGTTGTAAACTCTGAGTGAGCCTATCAATCGTCTAAAAGTGAGAACAGATGACTTCTTCTGTGGAAATCTCCACCTGCTGTTTGTTCAGCATGTCTTGACTTGAGGAGCTTAACTTCTGATGTTCTGTGCATCCATTTCTCCATCTTATTTTTATAAGTACTTTGAGAAGTGCCACTGGTAGCTTCATGTATACAAATTGTGCAAATGATAATTGTAGGTATAAGATGCATATTATGCCTCTGACTAATGAGAATTTGGAATAAAGCAAATGCTTTCTTCCTGGTGAGAGGAAAGGTTTAGCTCACTCTTACTTTTGAATCCAGGCTATTTCTTTTTATAGAAATGTGAATGCCTCAATTAAAAAAACTAAAAAAAAAAAACCCAAACAAAAAAAACCCCGAAAAAACCAAAACCCAAACCAATGTGTTTTTGTTAAACCAGTGTTAAAATCTGTTTGGGGAATCCGTTACCATTTGAATCTATTGGTATCATTTCATTTGGTGCTAGAGTCAGAGGATGATAGAAATGTACTCTAGGCTCTGGATTTGTCACAGTCAGGCATCTTGTATAGCAGGAGAGAAATATTGCACATTGTCAGCACTTCATAGGTTAAAAAAAGAAAAAAAAGTGGAAAACCAAGTATAGAATCATAGGATGGTTTGGATTTGTTGCTTGAATGTATGGATTATGGCTGATCACAAGATAATGTTCCGGGTTTAGTCTTCAAGACATTTTGGTATGTGAGCTCTTAATAGTTTACAAAGAGTTGTTGCAGCTTTAAGTCTGGCACTGCGGTGCAGTCTAACAAATGAACATATGTAGAGACCTGCTGAAGTATGTGTAGAGGGGCCTTAAAAGATACTTTCAGTTTTTCATGTCTTCATTCGTCTGCTTGTCCATGAGATGACTTGCTAAAACGAGAGTAGCCTGAATGTATCTGATGGCATGGGACCTGTATTGGCAAGTACCTTCACCAGCCAGGTCATTTGTAGTATCTGTTCTTACAAGTTTCATCCAGTGCTGCTCAGGAAGAATTTAGTATTCATCTCAAGTTTGCGGTGGCAGCAGCAGCTTGCTGTATATCCTGCATTGTGAATGTCAAAACATGAAAAGTGTTTCAAATGGGAGTTGTGATGGGGTATATTGAGTAGTATGAAGGAGAGTCTGGCTTGATAAGAATGGAGGTTGCTTCAAAAGCATTTAACTGAAAGTTAGAAGGATGAGGGCTTGTAGTTGTTCCACGTCGGGAATGTATGCATAGGTGTGAAGAGAATTTCTTGGTGTTCTGGGATGAAGACAGTCCAATCAGTGAAATTAATGTAGTATAAAAATAATTGGGTGATTTTTCCTTTGTATGCGTAGCAAATGTTCAATCCTTAGTGCCTTCTCTCTTTCCTATGTGTACATGTTAATCTTACAGCGACATAGCGCTTTGTTACGGGGAGTTGTCAATGTCTTACTATCTTTTGGATGACATTTCTGGCTTTCTGACTTCATTTATGAAGAGCTGAGAACAAATTTGATAATTTGGCAGGAGAGAATGAGGCAGTGATGTCTGAACAAGATCAAAGCCTTTATTATGTCAAGTGACAGGCCCTGCCTTGTCCATACCTTCCATCATGTTAATCTTTGTAGCTTCTTGTATAACTAAATGTTTGTAAAGAACAGAACATGCTTAATTCCCAGTATTATAGGTGGAGTTGGTAGCATTGTGGATTATTAATGTTGCCTGACATGTCTTCAGAAAAGCTTTTGTTTTCAGTTGGTTAGGCCCATGCCCAAATTGAGAACGTAAATTTTCTTCCCTGTGCCTATTTCAGGTAGAGTGCTTTGGAAATATTCAGCCAGTGTGGTTTGTATGTGTGAGGGTAAGATTGTGGAAGAACTTACCTTGCTTGTGTTTGAAAAAAAACCCCAGGTATTTATGTGCTTTAGAATTGATATTTAACGTCTGATAGCAAGGTGATGAACTGCACGTCAGGGTACCATCTCCTCAAATTTATGAAATTACAGCTGTAGCAGATCAATTTGCAGGTATTCAGTAAAAGGTCTTCCGTCCCTCAACACTGGGATTCTGAGGATTGGATCTGCTCTGTAGAACTTTGCTATTGCAACTGTGAGTGGCTGGGGGCTTTCGCTGTGGCAGCTGACAGAAGGACAGACAGATTCTCTGTATGCTGCTCTCCGTGCCCAACGGATGGTCCCAGGGCAGCGCAGTGAAGAAAAGTGCTGAGTTTGCAAGGAAGGGGGTAAGATGAGATATTGGAGGGAGCATAGATTGCTGTTGGAAAGGAGGACTGGAAATGCGAGTGGTGGAATGCTCGAAGTTATGGACGAGGAAAGACAAGTCTGATGTGAAGTCACTGTTTGCAGGGAAAATGGAGATGAAGATAAGCAGCTTTTGAGAGATGGGGACTAAAATGCTGGCTATCCGAGGTCAAAGGCCGGTATGAGAATGGGGCAGGGCAGGGGCAGCAAACTTTGGAGTAGACTCTGCTTGTGAAGATTGACTGAGGTACCCATCAGACCTCAAAATGAAACGCAGACTTCTCGGCCTTAGCACTTTGCTGCTGTGGGCATTTGCGGCAGCATCCTCTAGTGCTGGTCTGCGTAGACGACGGTTTGCAGCAATATTACCCTGACTCCAGGATCAGTGCAGTGAGTGCGGAATTTTTATCCCTTTTGATGGCCTTTATTAAGGGTCATTATGATGTGATGGAGAGGTGTTACTCTTTTTTTTTGTGTACTCTGAAAAACAGTGCTAAACCTAGGAAATAGATGAAATGCTATGTTTCCAAGTGGTTAAATACTGCCATGTGCACATGCAAGACAGTTTAAGTTAAACAGGAAACTTTCATTTTGATGGTTTCCTGTTTCTTTTAACATTTGTCCATGTAGTCCTGATGTTCTTCTGAAGCAGTTACTTTTGTGCAATCTGTAGTATGACGTGGTGTTTATAAAAAGTACAGTTTTAAGTTAAAATCTGAATTTTCTAAATACCTGCTTTTACTGAGCTGTGAACTCTGATCATGTACCATGGATTCTTGAGGTTGCTTTCTTATGTTAGGTAAAATGTCCGATGCTTAAAATTCTTCTGGCAAAATAAAGTTCTCTGATTCTTACTGAGTTTAAATTTGTCTAAAGATATGAAGTAGACATTGCTATCTGTTATTTACTACAGATACCAGACTACAGGAATGCTGTAATTGTGGCCAAATCACCTGCGTCTGCCAAGAGGTGGGTAAGATCTGCTCTCTTGTGTTAGAGCAGGAAATCTCTGTTGCGTTTTTGTTCTTAGGATCAAGTGAAGGACAGATATCCAATAATTAGAAGATGCAGCCTTCAAATCCCTACCACTTCTGTTTTGTCAGATGTGTAGTTTTTATATCATTGCTAAAATCATAATAAATGTAATAAAGACAAGCAAACAAAAGGATGAGATAAATCAATACAGGGCTTAGGATAAAGAAGGTATTTAATCATATTTGTGTGTATTTACACTATAAATTTCGTGCAGTAAACAAAGAAAAATCTCTGCAAGTAGAACACCATTAATCTAAAGTAATGGCTTAATGTGGCCATAACTTAGGACGTGGTTGATCAGATCCTAAATACAGTTTGCTTGCCGTCTAGTGTGGTGAAACAGGATTTGATGTTTGAGATGACTTCGATTGTCAACTCCTTGTTGGCTGAACGATTGTTCTTAATCCATGAATCTTTTTGGTTGACTGTTCCTGAGCGCTTTGGAATTACGCTGTTCTCAACAGGTGGTGTAAGTCTTGGACAGTGGTTTAAGAGATACGGTGTTTGCTGTGCTGACAAACTAATAGTTTGTTGAAAAGTTACTTAGGCTTTCATGCTAAGGAATCATGATACTCTTTGTAAGAAAGGTTTTTGTTATTTTATATAGCAAAGCAGAAATGCTTTAATTTGTAGAAGTGTAGTGAGGGGAACAATTTTTGTCATCTTTGTTTTCCAGCAGTACTTTTCATGTAATTTCTTTTGGTTTGACCAATTACGTTACATTTGCTTGTCTTTGAGTGTTTCTTTACCCGGTGTCAGTGTTGCCTCTTGGGAGTAGGCAGACATTTGTTGAAGCATTTTCATGCTCGTCAAGTAATTGTGCATGCCAGCAAATAGTCTACACGTACCTTTTAACTGATCAGACAGTAACCAATTTATGTAGGAGAGGATCTCAGAGCTGTATTGTTTAGCTTCTTTGAGTGTACATGGGCACATTTAAGAGCAGTATTTCAGGAGGTACGTTGTATTTGAAAAAGGGCAATTGAATGCTTCAGTCTAATCAAGGAGAATACTTCAGACAAACATCTACTTGTGGAAGAGAAGTTTAGAATGTTTCTGTGGTTTCTGAGCTCACTGGAAAATGAGTAAATCATTTTACTGTTACTTTGAACTTTACTCATTTTAATACTGCATTTTAAAGTAACTATTATGGTTTCGTTGATAGGATTGTGCCTTCTAAGTCATAACGCTTAATGTTTGGTGTCATAATTTACCTGTAGTTATCTATTTGAAAAAAATATCCTGACTGTATGATAACCACAGGGCAGGAGATTCTTCATTTTTAATTAACTGAGCATCACGATGGCCAAATTATTCTCTGGACTTTGAGTTGTTTGGATAATGAAACAAGGCTTAAGTGTAAAGGAGGTGATTCAGGCCACAGGTCCTAGATGCTAAAGTTAGAACCAAGTGACTCAGTCTGGACGTGCCAGTCTCACTTTGACCCGAAGGAGACGAGATCACTGGCTTAGGCTAGATACTGGACTCCTGGGTGTGCGAGGTAAGGTAGGATGAATCTGCCAATATTCACCTGCTGCTTCCAGCACCTGGGACACAAGCACTGTCTGTGACATTCCTGTTTTCCTGACTCTCTGCTTTCCCCAGTCCCCCAGCTTTACATAACCCCCCCACTTCTTTACATAAATTTCTCATTTTAGTCGAAGAAGTGCTGCGTGGTGAAGAAACTCTCTGTAAAATTGTAAAAATCCAGGCTGTTTA